GTTTTTTATTCCTTTACGTTCCCAGTGGAATAAAGGCCTTCAAACTAGAGCTTAGAAGTTCCGGTAGCAGTGGTGTTTATTCTTATGGGATGCGGTTGCTAGCCTCATATGCCCAACCTTCCCTCTTTATTAGTCTTATTACTGGCTTAGTGAGGTAAAGGAATGCGTCGGCCGAGGATCGAACCCGAACCACGTGAGGCGTGGTTGGCGAGTATTCTACCTCTCTGAACTGTAATAAAAAAACCCAGACAAGATAGTACTTAGCGTAAATCCAAATCATAATGATGTGAAGGAAAGTAGGTGAAAAGGCATAAGAACGATAAATGGTAATATAGGAAAATATGAGTAAATTTCATTTTGTTGATTATAAATACATTGCATAGCAGATTTCATCATGAGCTGACATCAGTTAGAGAACCACTGGAAAACCTGCAGGGAGTACTGGACAGCTGTTTCGTCGTAGTTTGGGACTCCGCTTCATCAGTACGAACCCCGGTGGGTTCCTACAAAGTCCCTACAAATTCAATACTTATAAATACATTCGCATGTTACTTTATTACCTGTTCTTATTTTTGAAAAAAAACATTAAGATGATGTAATTTATTATAATAAAGGTTTTGTATTTCCCAATGAATGAAAAACAAAACAACATCAATCCAATGTGCACCGTGATGGCAAGCAACCTAGAATGGTGGCCATATTGCAAACCTGACTGATAGAATTCAGTTTGCACTAAAGAAATGACTAGATACGTCACACTAGTTACTAGTGTCCAATCAAAATACAATTTTTACCTGATTCCATATAATTACGAAGTCAACTAAAATGACTGAGTAATGGTGTGCCGTTGGAGCCCTGTGGTCCCCTGATAATCGATATTCCTCTAGTTTTTTCTTCTAATATGTTGCTGAGTATAAAAGTATTATACATTACTGTGTATATCATTTTCTCAGAATTCTTACATCATCCTACTTACTACTCATAATGAATCGTTTTTTTTGTTTTTGTTTTTGTGTGTCACATGTTATTGTTATGCTATCATGTATGCTCACACTACTTACCGCTTTGTTGGTTAAACTTTAATTCTAATGCTTAGTTCTCTTCAAAGAAAGAAATGTTTTGGTTTTTTCATAATTTAGATTTGATTTGTGCCTACCTAATTACCGTCTTCTAAGAAATGTATTATTAGCTGAAATATGATTAAGTTAGAAAAGTATTATTATTATTTTCAAGTATTGGTTTTGTAGGGGTTTTGTTTGATTGCATGGAGGATTTCATCATGAGCTGACATCAGTTGGAGAACCACTGGAAAACCCGCAGGGAGTACTGGACAGCTGTTTCGTCAGTCTAGTTTGGGACTCTTCAGTAGTACGCACCCGCCGGAATTCGAACCCAGGACCTTCTGGTTACAAGGCGAGCTCGTAGACCATTGAGCCACTGGGACCCGACCCAATGGTCCTTGAATTCTAACTTCTGCCAATTCACGACATAGCGTGACCATTTCGCAATGTCTTCTTCGATGAGTTACTGCCTCATCTTCAACCTGCTGTACCCCATTATTATTATTATTACTATTATTATTATTATTATTATTAAACCACAGACTTGTCACACTGTGGGCACCAAGAAATACGCCACACAAAATCTCATATTTTGTACAACAACGGTTAGGATACTGCCCGCACACCACATAAGACCGTTTCGACAGGAAGACTGAAGTTCACCCCCACCCTTCGTGTGTACTAGATCGATTATGAGAGCAGGTTGGAAAAGAGGCCGGAGTGATTAAAACCGTTCAGTCTGAATCAAAAAGGAAGGTTTATTTCGCCCAACTAACCTCCTTGAGATATTTAATAGTTAGTTATTCTACATCTTGGGTGACATCTTTCAAAATTACTGATACACTTGTAATGATTAGAAGATAAGGGAGTTGGTAACAGAATGTTTTCTAAAGTTTGGTTCGTAAGGGTTAGTTATGTTTTTACGAGTTTATCACGGATTGATATCAGTTAGAGAAACATTGAAAACAAGCAAGGAGTACTGGACAGCCAGCTGTTTGGGAATTATCGGCAATACGCACCCATCACAAGGCTTCGAACCCAGGACCTTCCGGTTAAAAGTCAAGGCAAGCTCGTATACCATTCAGCCACTGGGACCCGACTCAGTGGCTACTTCATGAATTCTAACTTCTATCAGTTCGTGATTTAGCGCGACCACCAACCAATGTCGTCGGTGGGACATCCATCCTCACACGTGACTGGATGGACCTCACTACGTCTCACTAGAACTCCAGGAAACTCCATCCTGTAGCAAGTCACTAGCGAGCATCAGATTAATTTTCTATAGTTGGTTTTTAAGGATTAGTTTTGTTTTTACGAGTCGATGACGGATTGATATCAGTTAGAGAACCATTGAAAACCCCCAGGGAGTACATTGGTTGACGTCGTGCTAAATCACGAATTGGTAGAAGTTAGGATTCATGGACTGGCCATTGGATCGGGTCCCAGTGGCTAAAATGGTATACGAGCTAGCTTGACTTGTAACCGGAAGGTCCTGGATTCGAAACCTTGTGGTGGGTGCGTACTGCCGATGATTCCCAAACTAGTGGGATGAAACCCCTGGCTGCCCAGTACTCCCTGGTGGTTGGTTTTCAACGGTTCTCTAACTGATATCAATCCGTGATCAACTCGTATAAAAAAATGTTTGCTTGCAATTTCATGTCTTTATATATTGGAAGTTGTGTACACCTTATCTTCAAATCACCATTTGCACAGATCTTCCATCTTGTGCTACTTCTGCTCTTTGTAGTGTCTGTCTTTGTCTTCTTTCCATGTCTCCCATGTTTTGACGCAATAGTGGTTGGTTCATTTGCTCTCTTTGACGTCGAATCTATCTCTCCACTAATAGATATTTTTGTACCGATGAAGGTCTATCTATATACTACTGATAAATATTATCAGTAGCATACACCACGTAGGACATTGTCTCAGAAACCCCCGGCATCATACATTCTCGTGTTACAATCGTATGTCTTCGAATAGCTTGGTGATAACTCATTTTTTTTTACTGAAACACTGAGTCAAGCGGGTTAGAATCACTGGGAGAACATGAATCATTTCATTCGGGATCGCAGATACACCTTGTTAATGAGTGCCAATAAATACGAGACTTAAGACCAAATACACCTGACGACTACCTTCAGTCATCTAACATCAATTCAAAGAGTAATATGATGATGAGTCACTTAGTTCTATTGCAAAATTGTCTGCTGATAGAGTTCATTCAGCCTTAACACCAAGGAATAAGTTCGTAACTTTAGTTAGTTTATGATGGGCAATCTATGTACCTTTACTTTTTTCTGTAGATGCTCTATTCTGTGAGAGTGACAGGGTGAAATCATTCACCTTTTCGTAAACTTTTCCACCGATATCTGTCTGTCACCTGAGGTTGAGTATCATCAGTATTTATCAAAAGGAAACATGGTTTACAATGATATCTCCAACTGTTGCTGGTTCGTTATGTAATCTAAATCACTTCAAATCCCCATAAATCTCATAATCTAAATATCAACCTCCAGCTTGCTGATGGCTAGTGGATGGATGTCCTGAAGCTGTACTGACCAATGGGGTTCACCATTTCAAGGTGAAGTGGATGCCCATCGAAGGCAGCAGTGAAGGTAATGCTACATCACGAACTGACAAAAGTTAGAGTTAGCAGGTCATCGAATCCCAGCTCAAGTGGCTGAATGGTCAACGAGCTCACCTTGTAACCTGAAGGTCACAGGTATGACCCCTGGTATTATCGTGGATGAGCACTGATGAAGAGTCCCGAAAACAGGACGAAACAGCTGTCCAGTGCTCCATGGTTTTCAATGATCTCTATAACTGATTTTGGTTTGTGATGGAGTCTTACAGATAATATTATACTAAATAAACTTCCAATATTCAATGTATGAGCACATAAGAGAACTAACTAACTGTAGAGAAAGTAAGAGATCAGATAAAAATTAGTAAAATTTGAACAGTAGCCTATAAAAGGCATTTGCTTTGATTACGTTTACATTGGGAACTTTATTGCAGTGACCTATACATCTCTTTCCAAAGGATATTTTGAAGGATTTTGATTTGTTTCAAGTCTAACTGCCGTCTGATATCAGTTAGAGAACCATTGAGAACCGGCACGGTGTACTGGAGAGCTGTTTCACCCAAGTTTAGGACTCATCAGCAGTACGCACCCACTGGGTTTCGAGCCCAGGATTTTCCGATAGCATGGCAAGCTTGTAGACCATTCAGCCACTGGGATCTGACTCAGACTTGGTCGAACTTGAGACAAATCAAATACCTTCAGAGTAACTCTTGAAAATCAATCTGATCCACCCTAGTCTGTGGCTACAGGACGAAGTTGCCTGGAGTTCTAGTGAGAAATCGTGACCTGTTGGGTTCCATCCAGTCTGGAATGAGGACAAATACTCGCCTATGATGTCAGTCAGAAACTTGACACGCTTCACGAAAACCATTTCGAACAGACCACTGCGGACTTTTATCAACAGCTTCCACCTTAACAACAAAAAACTGTCTGGGAACAAACCAACCAAGGATATGCTCAGTAAAAATGTAGGAGAAAATGGAGATGGATTACACATACGCTACTGAGGAGACCGTCGAATGAAATCCCGCGCCCGGTCACTGCTTGAGTGGAACCCGTATGGCAAAAGACGAGTTTGGCTGTGGCCCGAGGGTGACATGGAGGAGTAAATGACTATGGGCAATTTTGAGCCCACCTAAAGAGGACCGCAGAGAAGAGGTCAAAGTGGAAACGTGCAGGTTGACGCCCCATTTTCCACTCAGAACCCAAGGGAACAATAATAATGATGATAGAATAATGCGAATATTCTGTTCTCTTTTGAGCTGGATGAACATAATATGTCTATGATCCTTAACAGAAAATCTAGAATTCTTCTTTTTTTTCTTACACTTATATTTTTATCTGCTTAAATTTAGATCAACAGGTCTTGTTTATGATGAACGTATGCTGAAGCATAAACATGAATGGTTTATTGAAGAGCAAGAAAGTCCACGTCGTATACAACAAGCATTTCAACGTTGTCTTGAAGAGGATTTAGTATCTCGATGTGTTCGTGTACCGGTAAGTAAGCGAAATAATAAATTTTCTATAGTTTGGTTTGTAAGGGTTAGTTATGTTTTTACGAGTTGATCACGGACTGATATCAGTTAGAGAACCATTAAAAACTAGCCAGGGAGTACTGGACAGCTGTTTCCTCCATCATAGTTTGGGAATCATCAGCAGTATGCACCCACTGACTGGGATTCGAACCCAGGACCTTCTGGTTACAAGTCAAGCTCATGAGCCATTGAATCGGGTCCCAGTGGCTGAATGTTATACGAGCTCTAACTGATATCAGTCCGTGATCAACTCGGAAATAATAAATATATTTTTTTAAAAACTGATTCATATCTGTAATTTTCCTGTTGATATTAATGAGTCGAATTGATTTGTCTCATTTCGACCAGTCGTTTTAGTGGTGTTTGACAGTAAAAGCCAAGAGAGCATTTCTTTCTATCTGGGACTCTCCAGGTGGCAACAGGAAAGAATAAATACCACAGTGGAATGATCCTGAACTAACCAATCAGATCGCTCAGTATTTCATCCTGACTTAGGGTTCAGGTTAGGGTAGGCCTAAGGTAGGCTTATGATAAAAGTTAGTGTGAAACTTGCAGCAAGGATTATAAAAAGCATTCATTTTCAATTCTAAGTGATCTGATAGGTTGGCTGAAGGTCATTTGACTTTGGTGTTTATTTTTATTATTGTTGCCCTGCCTGTGATCCTATTCCCATTGAAATTCGAACCCAAGAGGTAGCTTTCGTAGCCCAACGGTATTGGGTTCGAATCCCACTCCCAATATCTTGGGAATACATTAATCCATTTCGCAAATCCCGAATGGTTTGAAACGCTCCTCGTGAATTCTGCCACCAGCTATCATCAGCATATATTTAATACTTCCATTCTCTAGCCAAATATTTCGGTATGACATTCACACATTTAGCATTTTGATCAGATCGGACAACAGTTAATATTCTCTTTCCTTCTCTCACCCCTCTATCTCTCTCTCCCCCTTTAGACAAAAGTGATATTATATTGCCTACAATAAATTGTTTAAAAAAAATCATCGTTAATCGTGCCAACCAATAATTACACACGCGTGGGTGGGTGTACCCTTCATAGACGAGTAAAGGTAAAAAAAAAGCCAAAAACAATCGCCAAAACTAGCCAAGGTCGAAGTTAAGTTAAATTGCGACGCATCGATCCATCAAGCAGTCAATAATTCTCTCAGTAGCTGTTATTGGCTAAGTGTGTTTAATTAAAACCAGACAAGTAATAGTCAATAAAATTAATGGAGAAAAATAAAAATATCACTGGACTATTATCTACCCATGATTGTTTAATATTAGTGGTAGTATTAGCTGGTGATTCTAACTATAAACCATAGTAGCCCAAATCAAAACTACCTAACGAACAACGGATTAATAATTGACCTTGAGCAACCAGCCAAATGACTCCGTAGTATATACAGGCGGGATTATAGATGCTGTACACGAATTATACAGTGAATTTCATCAAAATCTAATATTTAGGTACTGTTCATTGGAAGGGGGAAAACGTGTAGCCAGCTGTCATCCCTGAGCTATATTGATCACAACGTGGTCAATCAATCCTACGGACGATTTCCTTTAGCTCTTCGATGGGACTCACACAAATTCCATCGAAAGTTTCTGGAGTTACCAATAAAAGAGGACCAGAGGAGTGATGAATGGGTGAAGAGACACAATGATTTACCGTTATCTTGATGATTTTATATACAGAAATTAGTTTAACCTAACTATGAGAGCAACAGTAAAGAATAGACACCAACTATACATGACCTTGGAACAACCAATCAGAATCTTTCAGTTGAAAAGTGGCATAAAATTAGTAGAAAACTGTTTTTATAACATATATATATATATATATATATATATAAATGAATTATACAGGATAAATGTCTCTAATATGCTACAAAAACTGGTCCCAGTTTCTCATAGGAGCCGTTATAGACATATTAAACCAATGTCAATACAAAAGCCGTTTACGATTCTGAAACGTTTTTTGAGGTGAGCCCAAAATCCTTCATTGGAATTTGTATGTGTTCCTGTTACAGGATCCACCAGTTCAGAAGAATGGTTGACTTTGTGGTGAATATAGCTTAGTGATGATAATTGAGAATAACTTCTCCATTCGTCTGTGTGAATAGTAGTTCCTGGGAGGACTAGACGTTGTATAATTGGTATTAACACATCAGCACTTCTATTCGCGATGCGTTCTACAAACCCTTTACGAAGATTTGTGTCATAAAGTCCCAGCACCCAAACATGATATGTTGTACTCCTGTCACGTTTCATTTTTCGCTTAATAAGTACATTTTCGTCAATATGCACGACGACGTCAACTCCCCGAAGTACAGAGTTGATCCCATTTAGCTTTAGTCAGGCAAATATCACGGCAGTACTGATACCATTGCACTGTTGAAATCTTTGTATTCTCCGTTTCTGCAGCTGTAGCAGATACTGGTCGCTTTAGTAGCCAGTTGTGGCATATACGCAATATTTTACTAAGAGACAGTTTCGATTTGGAGAAGAAAGTATCTAAAAAATCACCATAATGTACGACTTACCAACTCGCACAGATTTCCTCATGTAACAGTGGTTGCATCTAAATGCGTAGCTGTCAATAGCCCGCAATACTTTTGTAGCGTCATTATCCCTCCACATATGCAGGTTTTAGACCTCCCTATCAACCCATTTTCCACTCAGAAGTCAAAAACTAAATCTGGGTGAAACTTGCAACGAAGTTCATGAACCGTATCCATTATGAATAATGAACGATCTGATTGGTTGTTTCAAGGTCATTTGACTTCAATGTCTTTTGTTTACTCTTGCCACTATGAGTTCTCCTCGGAGGAGAAATCGGGAGGTTTTCCTGGAACATATAGAAGAAGGTTATCCTGTGTAACTACTTTTGAACACTGCACTGTTTTTACATAAACGTTTTTTTCAAATTACGCACTTCTACTTCGGATGCATGTGATTGGTCGATAGGGATTTATCAAGGTCTTGATTGGGTAGTTTCTTTTTGGGCTGCAATGGTTTAGGGTAACCGTATTAGCTATAGTAGTATTGCCTTATACCACTACTTATACTGTACTATAAGGAACTGGAAGATATTGGTGAAATTAAACTACATTAGGCAGTCAGGTAGAAAGTTTAAAGAATTAGTTATCCATGGGAAACAAACGCGCCAGTGACTTCGAATTGACCAATTGGATTAACTCGGGAAATTATTGCACTTCTTTCAATAGTTTTTTCTATGAATTTGGTGTTATTTAGCTGGTTTCATTGTTTTACTGTAATTGGTCGACTCTAGGTCATTGATGCGAACGTTTGGCTAGGATTTAATCTCTCTCTCTCTCTCCAATCTTACTTTTGCCTAGAGACCTTTTAATCTTCACAGTACTGACGAAACACAGTCTAAATTTAGCTCTATGCATAGAAAACACTGGTAACATTTGTCTTTAAACTATTTATTTCTGTGATATACAAACATTAAATTAGTACAACACACTGACAGATATAAGACGATTATCCTTTGATTGGACACCAGCTGGTAACTAGTGTAATATGTCTAGTCCTTTGTTTGGGGCAGACTGAATTCTGTCAGTCAAGTTTGTAGATGGGTCTTGCTGACGACGACGAAACCTAGGTCACGTAAGGCTTCCTTCCATTTGCCTCCAACCATCTAACAACAACAATCTTAGGTGTACCGTGACGGTGAGCAAACTAGGATGCTGGCCACATTGCAAACCTGACTGAGAGAATTCAGTCTGCACTAAAGGAAGGACTAGACACGTCACACTAGTCACCCGTGTCCAATCAAAATACCCACTACAGTCCTACAGGAGGTCAATCGCAAGCCCGAATACCTCAGTGGTAACGTTTCTGACTGCAGCACTGGGTGACGCGGCTTTGAATCTCAGAAGGGAGATGAATCCCTTCAAGGCTGCAGATACGCTTTTGCTGACTGGTGAATGCCAACAAGAGCGAAACCTAAGTCTAGACAGGGCTTCCTGTCGATTGCCTCCAATCATCTAATAACAACAACTCATAGGTGTCTGCGTTCTATCTCCCGTGTGAAGTGGTATAATAAGGTGAGCATTATCGAGGTTAGGCATCGAGTGCTAGGTAAGAAGGGGAAATCAATCGACGAGGCTGTGAAATTACATCGACTGAGATGGTTAGTACATGTGTTACACATGCCTAGTTATCGCCTACCTCGACAACAGACAATGTTAGCTGATATAGGGTCAGGCTGGTAAACAGCTAGCGGCGGTCAAACGAAAACATGGCACCAGTCAATGAAATCTACAACAATTAGTTTAAGCTAGCCACGTAGGAAGGTGTAGACTTCCTGGTTGGGGTCCTCGGGACGGTAAAAACCAATGGTTGGAAACGATTGGTGACATATCTCAAAATCGTTCTCGCTGATGGTTGGCGCAGATGCATCCACTCCTTGTGACTTATGATTTCCAATGAAACTGTTTTGTTCTTCGTTATTACTGTACCTTTGTCTCACACATCTGTTTACTGTCTATATTATGCATTTCTTCTACTTTCTTCTCTTGCTTTGTGTACTACATGGAGGGAGTGTGGCGACTTGAACAGCGGCACATATGTGCAAAGTTCTATGTCGAAAACAGACAGACAGACAACAACTCAGTTTCGTAGTAATAATGAATGCTGTTCAAGGTACAGAGAGAAGATATTTCAGGAGACGAAGGACGTTGATATTTCTATCCTGTAACTTCCAAAATACTTTTTCTGTTTACACCAGAGACAAATCAAAACAACAAATTGATCGTCCACAATGCGAGATATATTTCAGGATCAGAATTGTAGTGCAATGATGATCGCTTAGCTAGTTGGGATTTACGCATGTAACGTCACGTGTCAGTTGGTAAGGATGCTTGACCGCGAATCTTTCGTTCAACAAGTTCACTTAGTCAGTATCCAATACTTAGTGAACGCTGCTGTAG